TGTTCCGGTGTTAGACGCACTCCGCCCGTGGTTTATCAGAGAATATTCGTGTAGTGCTGAAGCTGTTTCTCAAGAGATAACTCAAAAGAAGAACGTTCTCAACGTCCGTTTCACTCTTCAGTGTGACGCGTACTGACCTGGGTTCTCTTGCGTGTGACGAATTTTGCTGGCGCATAAGCCGTGTGAGGCTCACAGGTTGGACATCAATTCCCATTAGAGTGCACTAACCTTTCCATCGACCAAGATCTTCTTCTTGCCTTCCCCTCAGTGTTTGGGTTGTCGGCTCTGGTAAATTCGTGCAGATGACTGTTGAGATGGTGTTCCTAAAGCCTTTCTTGCAACCTACTGACGGATTTTCTGATGGTTTGCTAGGATTCAGTGATCTAATGATATCCTTCGGCTCTGCGTCATTGGTAACTTCTTTTGTTACGGTTGGTGCATTGTTTGCATCGATTTCCTGCGTACATTGTACGGGAATGTTATTGTTTGTGGAGCACCTTGGACGCGTTATGTGGCCGTTGAATCGGGCTGGTCGGAGGGACTGGGGTACTCAAAGCGGCTATTTTATCCTCGAGTGCCGAAATTTTGGCACTTGCTCTTCCCTCAACCTCTAATAATAGTTTATCATACTTATTTGTTAAGCCTATCATACACTTCACTATAGGAACCTGTATACAATCAGTACAAAGCCATGAACAACCTGGTTGTGCTGCCATCTGTATGACACGCTTGTTCGATGGGTTCGCGCAGCTGGGATGATAGCATTTTTGGCAGTAGCTGCATGCAATGCCTGCTTTGATATCTTTGGCGCAACCCAGTAGACCACATTCTCCTAAAATGGGAGTGACCAATGGCATGGCACTTGTCGAAATACTCCGTCGACCCATTTTGGTGCGCTGTGAACGGCGAGGGGACGAACATTTGACAAAGGTCATGCGAAGAGAGATTGGTGACTGAGATAACCACACGTGTGATTCAGCGCGGAGAGTCCGTGTGGAGAAGAATGGACGGGAGACAGCCAATGCGTATCAATCGATGTGATCGGTGATCGTGGAGTGGACACACGTGAAAGTGTGATGGCAAACGGCACAGAATTGAATTACACACGAATGTATTCCTATCTCTCTTCAGAATTGACTCAGAGAGATGATCACAAGCTCGTTGAATAGAGCGATGAAAGCTCTTCAAAGTGGTGTCCCAATAAATCCAGTAGGAATATAATTGAGCACTATTACACTCGTTAATGACACAGGGAGGTCAGTGTGGAAAATGGAACGGCGTGAATGATCGAAGAGTAGAATATATATCCAATATTTTAGTACCACTGAATGCCGCAAAGAAAACTGATCAGACAGAGTGTAAAGTCGTCGCAGTAAGCCGTGTTTTGGCACAGAAACTCCACTTAATCTGGGAGCGCACTAACTGAGCAACCGCACAGGACAATATGCGGACAATATGCGTGAGAGTGGAAACAATTTTTCTACCCAGCAATCCATTGTACAAAAACTGCAGTTCGTTTCACCAACAGTGAAACAATCGTCATGTTCATCTCAATAAGAAAATGTTAAAGGATGACAGAGCAAATTGTCATATTACTTTGTGAAGGCGTTTGCAGGAGTATTGGGGGAAGAACTGCTACTTACCAATTCGTCCACAGGAAATGGAGCTGAGTCCGGAGTGACAGGTTCTATATCCCAGTGAGTCTCATTGATTGTATCCGTTCTTTCGGACCCTCTTCGATGCCACGGCTATTTTATAAAAAAATGCGGGAAAAGCAAGGCTTGGGGTGAGTAACCTTTGTTTTTTCAATATGCAGAACTGATAAAGAAAGCAAAATTGGAGTCTCGTTTTTTATGATCTTTTGAGGTAATTAAACCTGAACGAAGGTCAGTCATAGCCCAAACGCGTAACATTTGACAACAATAATACTGAGTAGAAATTTGAAGAGTGCAGTTTTGTAGGGAGTGGGGTTATCTTGAGGACATCAGTCTCACAAAGAAAACATAATTTCGGCGGTAAAACATGATCCTACAGACCTGTTAGAAAACGATAGGGCCACCAATGATAAACGCTTTCATTGCACATTAGTAAAAGGCCAAAAGGTTCCTTAAACAACACATTTAATAACCAACGTTAAATAAATTCATGACAACTTGATCAGTAATAATGAAAATCAATTGATGTCAGCTTCCTTGCAATTTCAAAACATTTTCAATGAACATTAAAGTTGGCAAGTAAAAAATATTCAAACGCGCCTCCTTTTTTGGTCTTGTAAGGCACGAATAACCCAATGGTGATCTCAACCTCGAACACAGTGGTGTCCAATTTAAGATTCATTTAGGATTGGGTAAGAATTTACTTGCAACGATACGCGGCATTTTTTAATGTAATTTTTGAATAGCTAATTTGATCAAACAACGAAGACCGTCTCAAAATCAATGAACGTTGAGGCCCTTGTTGCCAAAATGTGGTGATCGTGTGACGAGTACGCACGCACCGCGGTACAGCTTCCAGGTAACCAGTCAAGAAGCGGGTTAATCGACCAACCCTGTGGTCTCAATTGGCATCATCCGGATTGGCTGAGTGTAAGAAGGCAAACAGATTACTCATATCCTTGTCGATTGGACATTCAAGAATCGACCAATGGTTGTTTTTTGCCTGTAATATATATTTCCATGATGTTCTTAATAGAATTAACTGTATCTACATCTCGCTTTGGTTCTACCTGGCTTTGAGCTATTCAGTGGGTTTTGAGTCCGATACCGAGTTCACGCTATTCGATTTCGATTCCTATTCCGAATACTACACAAAACTAAAACAAAACTTGTCAAAGATAACAGGTCGCAAAGCAAATGTAGTAATAAAGTCTGGAAAGATACTTTTACATGCTTCACAATCATTTATTTTCATCATTGCAATCACACAGAATCATTCAAGCATGATTCTTCAAAGTGACTCTATCGTCCAAATCGGGTTATCTTAGTTCTGCCATGGTTTATTTCATGGCTTTATGCTTTTTTCCTGGTTCCAAATACCGCTAACCGGAATAGCAAGTGCAGCTGGAAACAAGTAATCTAATAATTTGATTCATATGCACATTGACCGACGAATTTTCTTTGTAGTTTTTTGCTGTTTTTTTGGTGTACAGTCTCTATGTAACGTATATTTACGGTAATCGTTTTTAGCCATTAAACCTGCACATTCACATTGCGTTCATTACTGCCTTTTGACTAACTATTTAGATGACCGAGTATAGGAACGAAGTAAAATGCTGGAAGCAATATCGATTTGAATGTCGATAATTCTGGTAGACTAAGATGGCAAATAAATTGAGCAGATTGCAATGACTTTGAGGAAGCCAACCGGGCACTATAGGACTGATTTCTCTGGTGAAGGTCTTCATACCCCGGTATTTGGAGTTATTGCTTTTTTTTAATGTTGCACATTAATATATACAGTTTAACAGACGATCATTTATGGTACGCGAATGAATGTCTGGAACTGATGTAATGGATATCTGACTGAAAATCTTATATGTAGCCAGCCAGAGCATTTCCTCCAAATACAGAAACGAATTTCTCATGCATGATCGATTGTGTTGTGGAGTCGGATAGTGAAAACTAAGAAGAAAGACTTTTTCAAGTAATGTATCCGACGATAGTTTCTCATCACTTTCAGTATATATATATACATATATATATATATATATATATTTACCACCGGCTTGAAAACAAGCATGGTGCCAACGCAACAAATAGATATAGAAATATCATTGCCTCTGTATAGAACCTACATGGGTCCAATCTGAACGTGTTGATCTCCTCAGCGTGGGCATGTCCATACCAGAAGGAAAAGACATCGTACTTCGTCTGCCTGGTTCCCGTGACTCGCGTGCCTCAAGTAAAAAGAAAATACCAAACTATCCGGTATGTTTGTGTTGACTCTGATATAGCAATAGTAATAATACTAATACTAATAGTAACAGTGATAGATAAAGGTAAAGTAAATCATTTTGGAGTGGCTGTTCGGGACAATATTGCAAAATTAAGATAGGGTAAGAGCAGTGTTACAGACAAATAATCACAAGTGTGCCTAATGTTTCGTTACAAAATCTGCGATAGCGAATGCGCAATTTATGTTGTCGTTGCTTCGTGTTCGGTTGTCTACGTAAAATATCTGGGAATCGACTAGTACGAACGTGGTCCAGTGTTAAAAATTCAGGAAGATCAAAACCCCAACCTGATGCATGAAACGGTGCATGCTAACCAAACCCATGACCAAAGTGAAAAGCGTGCAGGAAATCAAACAATTTTCAACTTTTTGTTTTTTACAGAGCACACTCATTGTCCATTAATGCATATCTGATTTTGATAGGCGTGGTTTGTGTGGATTGTTCCACATTCGACAATGTACGGTGAAATTTGGAGACGTGGGTCAGAGATACAACGTATTGCGCTAA